TCGCATCAAGGCATGTCACAGCAGGGTCTGCACTACTCCTGTCAACAGGAGTAGTGCAAAAGTTGATGCTATCGGTAACAGCCCCAGCGCGGAGAAGTTAAGTGCAAAGCTAGGGTTCAATCCCTAAGCGCCCATCTGTGATGTCTGAGCCGGTCCCCAAGAACAAGGCGATCGCACCTAAGAAGAAATCTGAAATTGAGTATTTTACGTTTGTTGAAGCAGTGCTCTAACTGGCCTACTAATCTATATTTCTATGTGATATGATTTACAAAAAAAGAATGATAAATATAAAAATAGGGAGGGAACTATTTAAATCAAAGGCTACAGCGTCCAGTCGTCGTTCAATGAGCTCAGCTATGAACGAAAGCTAGACCTCCCCCTCTTACTTGGCGGATTCACATTCGTAGGAAAGGTCTGTTCTTTTGTCTCTTTCCCTCAAGCGAAGTAACCTATTAATAATAATATATCTCTGCTTCCTAGATAGATAAATAAGAAAAGGCTTAGCATATCCTATATAGATAGAAATCAGAAGCATGTGCTCAATAAGTATTCTCTCTTGCCTAAAGTCCAATCCATCTACGAATACCGTTCTGTCTTTCAATACTTTCTTCCCTTCTCGGCTAGCTCTCCTCTGGTATCCATACTTTCATCTGTCGGAAAGGGGAGTCGGGAAGTTAGCTCTTGTATGATGAGTTGATCACCCTATACATACGGCTTTCTTTCTCTTTAAGCTTCAAGCATTAGATCAGATACAAACAGAAAGTCTTGTATGACTCCCTTCTTTTAAGATAACAGCATCCACGGAAGAAGGAAGAACTTAAATCTTGTATTGATTAAGCGAAAAGACCGATAGTAGCGAGCCTTTTGAAGGCCTTTCCGGTATCCATCCTCTTAGAAAAAAATGCCCTTGTACGTGTCATTAAAAGATGCGTTTCAGCGAAAACACTAGAAGCTTCTTCTCGAAGAGTTTGCTACCACTTCATCGGCCCTCTATGTCATACCTCTAAAGGTGCGATGCCGATAGAACTCTATCCATAGATGACCTCGTTGAGGTTCGTAGATAGCGAAAAGGGAAGAAATTAGGTTCAAAGATAAGAGCGGTCCGGGTCTTTCTTTAGTTTTCCCGGAGGAAGCAACTGATTGAGCTGCGCTAACGTTAACGTTTTCTTGCATGACAGCGAATGCTGTTCACACGGGAACTCTTCCTTTCTTGCAGAACCTCAGCTGCTGAGCTCCGCTAGTCTAAGTATACTAACTTAGCTTATTAGCCGTCACTCTATGACTTGTAGACACTGCCTCCCAAAGAGAGTAAGTACTTCTATCAACCACAGGCTCCCTAGGCTTGGTTTCTGGCTTTTGAAGTAGTATCCCATTCCTGTATGCCTTCCTGCGGGATTTCCTATTCATCTTTTCATATCATATAGTCATATAAAGGGATATCTTTAAATCCTGGTCCAGTTGAGGTTGAAGGTGCGAAAGAAGTTTTTCAGGTACGTCTTGTTATGGGCCTATGGATTCTTTAAAGACTACGCACTAAAAGGGAGAAAGTGAACCCGGCGTTCCTCTCTTTCTCCCGATTCTTATTACGTTGAGTAAGGGAATAAAGCACTCACTAGAACAAAAAGCAGAAGCGCCTGTTGGTATATAAATGGATTTGTCAGCTACATGGAAAATCCCATTCCTTAGCTGAGGCAGGCATACCGACCTGATGCCGATGCGTTCATAATTCACTAGACAAAGCGGCCTAGATTGCAAGTTTTGACCATGGAGTAGGGATATGCTTTAAACTTTCATTCTTATGGCTAGTTGATGATTCGCTTCAACTCCTTAAGGCTTAGTTGTTCAAAGATGGACAGTCATAATAGATAATATAAGCTTGAGCCTTCCCTTCACTCGGGCTATGGCTTCGACCGGAAAAGAAGTTGATTTTGAAAGATACTTTTTGTGCCGTATCCTCGCCTCAAGTTGACAAGAGTATTATCTAACGTAACGTAAGGAGATCTGCCGGTTCAGATTGCTAAGATCTCAAGCAAGACGCTGAGAGTTCTGGCTTTTCACCTTAGCCTTTTTAAGTAGCCTGCCTTTCTTACCTCTCTTTAGCCCCATTGTAGGACCTATTTTAAAGTTCCATTCCAGTTTCCAGTCTTGCCTTGTTGGCACCCCTTCGCCATAACATAAAGTCCAATATGATCGGAAATGCAAATCTTTAGCTCTACTAAATGAGTTAGTCTTGGCTTCTTCTTCCTTTATGGAGAAAGGGCAAGAGCCCACCATACTTGGATAACGAATTCATACGTAAGATGCCCAGTTGGATCACTAATTCGTTGCTAGATCTCTGCTCTCTTCATTTCTGATTTCGCGGCGCTAGGTACCGAAAGCTTCAGTCAACACAGTCCTATCTACTTCTGTTCACGAGACTTCTTGTACTTTACCTATATCAAGAGCGATTTCATACCGGAGCATAAGGATATAGAGTTTCGGAAGCTTTGAAGTTTAAGCTAAGCTATTTAGAGAAAGACCGGAGGAAAGATCTGACTTGAAAGAATGAATGTAAAAACTTGCGCTGTCCCCTCTTCCTCCTCTAGGATTCCCCTTGCCGGGAGAACTGTTCTGGGCAACCCTATGTCTTTATTTATTAAAGAACTCTGGGAAAAAAAGATTCTTTTACCGAATTGCTTTGAAAGTTGCTAACTCGGATGTTGTCTCCTAGTTGCTCCCTATTCTCGAACTGGAAAATTTTTCTTCTTCTTCTTACTATACCTCTCTAGTCTTCTCTTCCTATTCATTCTCTTTCTGTTGCCTATGCATTCTAGGCTAGGCTTATGTATTACTATTCTCTCGGATCTCTGGGCTTATGGATAAGGAGACAGGAGATTCGGTTACACAATTCAATTGAGCAATAGCATCCGATTCAGTGGGGGCAGACCCTTTTGAACCAGACGCGACGGGAAGACGCTCAGGAGACATCAGACGAGTCAGTAAAGAATCCTCAGGCCTAGAATGCCCAGTTCGAGTTATGGCCAGCTACGGGTCTTCTAAAGAGTACTATCCCGTAACGGAGCTTATTTACTAACTTTCCACATCCTATGTATATGAATACAATTCAGCTACAAGAGATGAAGTGGTAAGCCCGCTTATCTATTTATCTTATTATCTTAAGCGATAGCAGACTTTTCGGCTCGGTGAAAGAGGTTGTCTCGTCCAACCAAAAGAAAGCGCTCACCCCATCTTATTCGCCAGATCCGCTTATCTACTTCTTTGTCGGCGGCTCTTAGTTTCATAGCTTGTACCGTTTCCTCGAGCTGTTTCTGTTGTTTAAGAACAACTTGGATGAGTTTCTCTTGCTCAATAAGACGGCTACGGTTCTCCTCTCGTAGGCGCTTACAGCGCTCCGACAAAACTTCATTAGTTTCAGAAGAATGTGGGCGATCAAGAGTGAGTATGAGCTGATAGACATTGGCTGTGGTTTTTTCCTTGTCAAGTTCACGTGTCCATATGATCTGCAGTTTGCATTAGAAGAAGGGCCATGGATGATTTTTGGCCATTACTTGACGGTGCGTAAATGGACCCCAGAGTTTCGGCCAAGCATCGCTAGTATTGATTCCACTGCTGTATGGGTTCAGTTCCCTGGTCTGCCTATTAGGTACTATAATGATAGGATGTTGTTATCCATGGGTAATACATTGGGAAGGGCTTTGAAAGTTGACCAAAACACTAGATTTGCATCGAAGGGGAGGTTTGCTCGGGTCTGTGTTGAGGAAAATTTGAATAAACCCCTTGGTCCAAAGATTTGTATTGATGAAGTTTGGCAGCCAGTAGAGTATGAGTTCCCGGAGAAGAAGAAGGAATGCATGCAGCTTTTGAGGATCCATACTCTAACAATTAAGCAAGTAAACTACCTTGAGAGAAGGTATATCTCGTTCCCTCTCTTGCTTTCACTTTCTTCTATTCCTGACTTAAAACCTAACCACCTTACCCACAAGGGTACGGTTACCAGGAAATGAAGTGAGAGACCTTATAGTTATAGAACTCCTTTCCTATTATAGGAACTATTGCTAGTTCTCTCTTTACACCCGATGACTTACTTGACATCAACTACCTCCTCTCCATACAATTCATTCTGGTAAACTATCAGGATCAAAGATAAGAGATAAAAGAAGAATTATGGTACTGAACATAACAGGTTGGACACGGACACCTACAACTCCTAATACTGCTTAAGCAAACCAAGGACAAACAAGAGCTACCTTCAAAGATGGAGTGATCTCTATTGTTTCCGGTTTAACTTAGAATAAAGATAAAGTATATAAAGCATATTCATCCCTACTATCAAGTCGTAGTCATCTGCAAATAGGGCGTATTGTAAGATACCTATAAATAAGGTACTGAGACTAATGAATGACTGAATCAATCACAATCTTTTCATCAACTACCTTACCTTGCACCCTATATCCCAACCTTGTTCTCATACGGCCTTTCAACAGAACTTTACAGAGGGAAGCTACTACTACACCTCTATCTATATATAGGGAGAACATACTCTAATATCAAATAGAAAAGGTACAGACTTAACTTTCTTCCCTTATTCCTTCCGGATGCCTATCATAGTTCCTACTTTGAAATCTCGCAGGAGAATAAAATAGTAGAATCCACTAGGATTCTATCTGGACTGAAACAGTCTCAGTTAACTGAGACTGAGAATAAAGAAAGAGAACAGAGAATAGGGTGGATTGAAAGAGAGAACCAGAAATGAAATAGCGAGACCAAAGGAATGAGTTACAAGGCGAATTGTAAGCCCCAACGAGAAAGTTTCCTACGGGCATTTTCGGGGACTAGCCTCCTTCCTTCTTGTTCTTTTATTTTCTCTTTTCTGGTTTTTTGATTCTCTTCCTATTTTTCAGGAACTGCTTTCAAGGGTCGGGTTCTCTGTGGTATGGCGAACCTTATATCACTCGATACTCAAGGGCTGCCCCGGCAGTCTTCTTTTTTTCTTCGTTTTAATGGCGGGGGCCGCCATAAATGCCGAGGCTGAATTAGCTAAAATGATGGACCCTTGGCGCTCTGGTGCCCGGGGCGGCTTGCCTGATCTAAACGAGCCCCCACCGCCTATAGACGAAGAATTAGAGGAGAATGCAGATGCTGCCCAGGCCCCCAAAATAATAAGCAAAGCTTCCCTGGACTCCTCAATATCCAAATTGGAGAATTTTCTTCGAGCAAAAGACGAAGCAGAGGCTTCTGGTTCAGGGGGGCTTACCACCGCTGCTTCTGAAGGTAAGGAGGATATTCTTCGTTGGGGATGCTTTAATCATTTAATAATGGAACTAAAATACTGTGGCGACGACAACGGAATGATTCATAATCACGCAAAATGGCGCGCTGCCTGCTTAAAGGTAGTCACACTGGAAAATACAGACTTGAATTATCTTAGAAATATGCGTTCAGAGCTAAAGGAAAAGGGCGTGGAAAGCCCGTTATTCAAAGAAGTTGTCAAAGCCTTAGTCAAACAGGGGGTGGGACGCAGTTCTTAAGAGAAGAATGCCGAAAAATAGGAAGAGAATCAAAAAACCAGAAAAGAGAAAATAAAAGAACAAGAAGGGTTCCTATCATAATGCACGAATACATCTTATTCCGGCTTGGCCGTTTGTTTTTGTGGAAAAAAAAATCAAAGAAATTTGACCATGTTTCCCGAGCCGAGAGAGGCCGCCTTTTCTCAGGCCAGCAGTAGATATGTCTTTGTCCCTGTGAGGGACTACGCCGATCTTTATATGTTTTGGCCATGTCCCTTTCTGCTCCGAAGAAGAAGGTTTGGATCTTTCAATCTTATGTCGTGAGGGATGTGACCTATGTTAGGTCCATAAAATACCACAGCTTTTAGTGTTCTATGATTCACCTCCGAATAATGAGTGGGTAGTTCGATCCTTTTGATTTTTCTCTTCATAGTAAACTGATGGGGGGATGCAGAGCAATAAGTCGATTTACTATAGAAAGAAGAGTTGTAAACTATAGGACTTATTGTTCGAGTAGGAATATTTCGGTTTTTCTCGTTCCTTCTCTTCGATAAGAAGAGGGATTTGAAATGATACAAATCCCTCTTCATTCTGTTGTGCTCAGCGAAAGAACTACCTAAGCATACTTTTTTGGATCCAAACTTTTTTGTTTTTTCTAAGTCTTCCTTTTGCATAGAAGAACGCAACTGTTGCAAAACCGGGTATTTTAGTAGTAGGCGGCGTCCCCTCTTAGTTTTGAGTAGAGGTAACCATTCTGTTTTGGTTCTTCTCCACATTCCTATCGGGTGATTGCCTATTATTTTTTCAATTGATATTTCAATATAGAAAAATCTTTTTATTTCTTCACCGTACGCATCATTTTCTTGAAAAGATATTATATCACCGTGGGAAACTTTAAAATGAGTAATGCTTACCATTCCATTATTCACACAAACCCTTCGATGACTTATCGGCTGCCTTGCTTGAGGAATAGTTTCACGAAAATGAAGACGAACCGGAATAACGTCCGATCTTGTTTCTGGATTGAGTAGAAAAGGGATATATGAAGTTCGTTCTGTTCTTCTGTGCATCTCTGTGATGGGTAAATCCCCATAAAAAAGGGACAACTTGCGTGTAGTTTGTAATTGGATGTAACTGTTAAGATTTTTTCTCGAATAAATCTTTCTCTTAATAGATCTCTTCTTGTTTCTCAATCTTCGGAGAATGCGGCGTTGTATTATTGTAAGTTTTCTGTTCCAAACATTTTCTGAAAGTAGACGACAAGTTTTAAATCTTAATGCGGGCACGTCATATCTCGTTGAATCGGGGTTTTCGCCACATCGCGTATAACGGGAATCGAACCCCCTCTGCTGCTGGCGGGCGGATGGAAAATTTACGACTTCTATTTAGCAATTTGTTAAGAGTAGGTTTTGTTTTGGCTTGCCTCTTTCTTCGTATTAGTATAAAATAGGTGCTTAATGTCCTTTATTTACCCTTTCTCTAATAATAAGGTAAGCTTCCACCTTTCTTCAGCTGGTGCGCAGGAGTGCACTTTAGTTTTCCCCTTACTATACAAGGGCGTTTAATGAATAGAGATCTCCCGCCAGCAGTATTCTCTTCCTATCACTTCACTTCGTTCGAGAAATCTGATCTCACCTGGCCGGGCGAAGGGATGGGCGGTCCGGGAACCACAAGGGGAGAGGGGGGCTACGAGCCCTCTCCCTCTTCCCCACGCCTATTTGTTCCCCCAGCCCCGGGAGATGCACAACTCTTTTTTAATGAATAGATAGAGCCATGATACATTCCGGAATATTGTAAAGGTAAATAGACTCTTTTCGTCCTCTTTTCGATGTCTGCCGAGGACCTATGTGAATGTTTTGGAATGGGGATGTTCGCCTTTTGTAAAAAGTAGACCCGCGATACGGACTAATAGGTGTTCCTACTCTTCCCGTAAGTAAGATCTATTCATAGTGGGTCAGCCCCCGCAGCACGGCTTCTCGCTTTTCATGAATAT